GCTTACAGGATGTTCGTTTTGGAGAGCTGGGAGGCACGTTGATGGAATGCTAATCCAGTCGTCTGCCATTCCAAGATTTTGTTCAGGGGGTAAGGCAGAAAACTGCAGTTTTGCTGGCATGTTCCAGCGCAACACAAGGTAGAAGGCTCAGACTTTGTCAAGACGTGCAACGGGAAGATACAAGCTTGCGCAAGAGGTGTCATCGTCCTCCATTCGAGACTGCCCCCTCTTGCTTCCCGGCCTGACAGGGTGATGCTCTTTGCTCCCCCTCACATGTTTAGAGCTGCTGCTGCGACAAGGCCGTGTCCCCTCACTTTCATAGATCGTGTGGGTTGGGGGCGTCGGCTTCGACAACCTTCTGAACAGGCAGAATCTCAAGTTCCGACACACTTTTGCATCTTCGGGCTTCCCAAGCCGAGCTGCAAGTCCTACATCCTCCCGAAGCAAATAGGAAACAAGACTAGGCCACGGGGAATGGTTTATGATGTGAGGATTGGTCCTCTGGCCGTTCTGCTCACGTTTCTGACCAGTGCTGCAGCGAAGGCCAAAGCGTTGTGGTGCCTCAGCCGTTCGGAAGGTTGGAGTCGAGGGTCACATGTTCAGAAGCGTTTCCACTACGACATGTGTTCATTCTCAAATGATTTTGGGGGTGAACGCAGGTACGCTTCCGCCAGTCCAAAAATCCCAGGACAGCCGTGAAGTCCCTTTGTCAGCCTGCAGGCATGAAGCCTCATCAAAACGCTGAAGCCTTGAAACGCTTGACTTGTACAGCTGAAGTACATCGAAGAAATTGGACATGACCGAGCCAAGCTTCTGCAGAACCCAGCGCTCCTGCCTAGAGGCTTGAATGCTTGACTTCCAAGGAGCCTCTGTGCCCATGGGCTCCGCGATGATCTTCCAGGTTTGGCTGCCGAGTCGCCCGAGGTAGGGGAGGAGGCCCTGCGAGTGAAGCGATTGTGATTTGGTCTTGGGGATTGGCTGTTGAGGGCTTGGCTCAGGGGTTTCCACTCCTGGAGTTCTATGTTTCCGGCGTGCTGTCTGTACGACTTGCTCTGCAGGCATCCTGGAATCCGTCTTGGGGCTGGGGTGTTTCTAGGGCTTCGTCACAAGCTCTTAAGCACATGATGCTCAGACCCCGACCAGGCAGAGGTGGCTGCAGCTTTGTCTGAAGCGATCCGGAGTTCCGCGACTTTCGCCCCGGTCGGAGGTGCGACGAGCGGTTTAGGCGTTTTGAGGTGAACGAGTCAGGGTGGCAGCTAGTAACAACCATCTGCAGCAGATTGAGTTTCAAAAGCTGAGCTTAGGATTTGGGTTTGTACGGCCTACGCAGTTTAGGTTTGGTCGTTCGGAGTTTCACGCCTCACGGATGATTTCCAAGATCAGCCATTTGGTTGGTCTGGGCCAGTTTGGGTAAGAACATGCGACGCATTAGCGTTTTCAAGCGCGCTGCGAGCTTTTTGGCTCGTGCTATCAGGGCTCTACGTCCAGTTTCTCATGCGATTTTGCAGATTGTTCACTAACATAGCCGTCGTTTCCGGGTGCTGCTCCAGCTACATGGTTACAGGCTGACTGTGTGTTATGAGCGGTTCGTTGAATCCCGAAGTTCAGGCGATCCCAGATTGCGCCTGCACCATCTCGAGCCATACCCTCTTCTTGGAAGCTTTGCCTGGTGCAGGTTTCATTCCTCCTCGGAGGTGTGTGTCGCAGGACCCAGCCTGCGGAGGGATTGGTAACGATAGCAAAAGCGGCAGGACTTGTCCCGACAGTGACAAGCTGCTCACAAGAGAAGGTTACAGTTGATAAGTTAATACCATCAAGCAGGGTACTAGTGGTAGCACTCTCGGGCACCCGGGGCATGCTTATAGCACCCGTGGATCGCATGTGACTAGTTTCGAAGTTTCCAGCAATGCACTCTCAATCGCCATGCCTGATGCAAAGTGTGAACTCACCCAGCTGCCTCCTTGTTTGCAGCCGCAGGACGGGTTGCGCAGAGCTTGGGCGTGGTCTGACCGACATACAGCTTCTTGACGGATTCAGGAGGTATTTCTTTCGAGTTACCTTAAGGGGTCTTGCGTCCAATCTACGGATAGACCGCTCCCCTTCCCTGTCTCAGGCCAAGGTCCTCCGGCGAGAGGTGGGTCCGACCGAGCAGATCGGTTGCTGTTTCACCGTCGAGCGGCTTGCAAAAAGGCTGGCGGATCGATTTTCTTGGACATGACGGCATGCTTGTCCTTAAGTGTAGAGTCAGGCAGTATGTTTAGCAACAGACAGAGGAAAGGATCAAAGCTTGGGCCTGTGGCCGTACCATTTCGAGCTTCAGGGATCTGGTGTCTCCAGGGCTTCAGCGTTAAGTTATTGAATCTTGCGCGGCGGCCTGCTGTCCTTGACTCGTTGCCCGCAGCTCTATGTTGCAACGGTAAGAGGTAGGCACCAGTTTGTCGTTCGCAGAAACGGCCTAGAATTTCTCGCAGCCAGTGTGCTCTCAAGGGAATACTAGCTTTCATATACAACCGGGAGAAGTGCGTGATTTCCTTCATTTCCGTCAGATTTCCTGAAGACTAATCTGCGGCACTCAACTTACTCAGTACTTGGCATGCGACTCTTCGGCCGTGATTGCACATGGGCTCCGATGAGGCCGTACCCTGGGCTCAGGGTCATGCAATTGGCGGCTTTTTGTCCTCGTTACTGTCCTGTACAAGCCCGATCTCCGAAATCCAGAATTCTGACCCAGCAGCCTGATATCTTCGTAGCGTCCTCAACAACCCCCACTTACGGCTCTACTCAGACTGTAGTGGGCATGCAGTGCCGTCAGGCAGGTCTGCCTCGCGAAAGAAGCAGCAGGACAAGGCACATTCAGAGCATTGGGCTTCAGTTGCTATGTGTGTTTCCAGATGCGTGCTCGTGCCCTGCATTGCACCAAGCACTCTACTACGACGACTGCTACGTACCGCTACCGCTGCTGCTACGGCTACTGTACTGCTACTGCTACTGCTACTACTCCTACTACTCCTCGTGCTCCTACTCCTCCTCCTACTACTACT